CGTGTGTTCATTTATTGTCGCGATGGTAACGACACGCTGTATATAAACAATAAAAATACTCCTACATTTCATCGAGATGTTTACGTCGCAAAATCATATATATATTCTTACAAAGCGGTTTTCTTTTTGATCGCCCTATTTTTTTAATGTTCTTCTCTAACGTCACTAAAATATTTACAACTTCACTGCCGTACTCGTGATAAATAGACACTTAAATTTGAAACTTACATTTTTTGTGACGTGTGACGAAAAAAAATGAAACTAACAATTTTATTCGTGCCGTCACCGGGTTTTGAACTCAGAATGCTCGAATATACTAAATTAAAAGCGAGCACTTGCCAGTGCCTGATGAAATCTTTATATTTTCGAAAATATAACAAAACAAAACATTTTGAAAATTTATGATGTCTGCTTATACCCAGTGGGGCCGCGTAATGGACTGCGCCCATATAACATATATAAACTGTTACTTAGTGGAATCAAAGTTTGTTTCACGAAACAAAATATTAACTGTGGTAGGGTGACGCAGCAGTCTACGCTGTTGCACGAATGGGCAGGTCCGTCCGGGGAAGTACCACGACCTCACAGAAAACCGGCGTAAAGTGGAAGAGCCTGCATTTCGTCTGTTGAGTGAGGTAACCGAGGCCAAATTTATTGAAACGTGGCGACGCATCTGCCACCTTTTATTATCTGCAACTTGTAAATGTCCATGGGTGGCGGTTATCACTTAACACCAGGCGAATCTCAAGCTCGCCTGCCATCTTCTTACATAAAACAAGCCATCCTAATGGAGTCTAGAAGTTTAATTAAGTTTTTTACTTTTTACATATGTCAATTTATGATCAAACGAGTTATGGGTAATTTATTACGGAACTACTAGAGTAAATAGTTACCCCACGACCGCGCTGTCTCGCATCATTAAGTACGGCGGGGCTCACGGCACTTACTCGTAAATGCATCGTGCCGAACCCCATTAACTGCGCCCTATCACAGGCCCACTTCCGCGCCGGCATCGGCACCGGGAAGCGGGCCGTGACTGACACCCGATAGGACCGGTCAGGTTGACGCTCGGCCGCGGCGCGAGTTACGAGCGGGGGCGGATAGCGCGCATTGCCTTTCCAAGACAAGTTGTCGCATGAAAAAATCTAAAAGATTGCTAGGTGAAGCTATTATTAGGGTTTTTTTTTGTATTTGAGGTGGCAAGCGAGCTGTCGGTTCACCTGGCGTTAAGTATAACGGCCGCCCATTGGCATCATCGATTTGGTTGGACTCCTTTTAATAAAGTTGGACTGCTACCTCATCCACCTGACGGAATGCAGAATTACATAACCGAATTTATAACACTACCACTTCAAGCGAAAAACTCTGTCTGTTAGTAGTTATATAAATAGTTTCATTTTATATAAATGTTATGTTATGAAAAAAAAAAGAAACAGAAAACATTTAAACTCAAAGGAAAAAGAAAATGAAACTTTTCAAACTTTATGGCAATAGAGATGGGTACAAAAACGACATTTTGACGTCAAACACCTCATTGCATCCTGTTGCAATGGATGAATGAATAATTTTCTGCGATAATATCCGTAAATCAGTGTTAGTATACTGTGTCTTTACGCATAAATTAGAGCAAACATCTATGTGAAATGAAACCTATACGTATACAATAAAAGCTCTTCTCTTCCAAACGGGATAAGCAGGGTTTTTAGCGTTTACCAAGCTTTTTTAATTATTAAATGTGTCGAAACTGTCGCCCGTATACAAAGCACACATCATCGCCTCTTATTTTCCTCGGAGAAGTTCCATAACATAAAAGACTAAAGTATTTGCAAACGAATAACATAAACATAAGATTTGAAATAAGCCTGGTCGTTAAAGTCGACGACTTACACCATACCTCAAGTTCGTTTCAGTGTCTGTTACCGGGGATCAATATAATGCATTGGGTAACGGTACCACAGCTGGTTTGTAAAATGAACAAACAAAGGTCAGTAACGGTAAGGGGCCTAACATTTCGTGCTTAGGATATTGCCTGGTATATCAGGCTGCGTGGATATCGCTGCCCGATGTGCTCCTAAGTGCTCCAAAGTACCACTTAGGCTCACAGTAATAAAATATTTTTGTAAAAAAATAACAATAACGCCTGAAATATGTTCCTTGTAAATGGCGATTGCCGAGGTGGCTCGGTGGCGACGGGGTTCGTGGGTTCGATTCGGGACAACCTATTTGTATGACCCACAGATGATTGTTCTGTATCTGTCGTAAAGGCATAGCCAAAAAATCGCTTACGACATGATTCGTATATTGTACCGACCCCACCTATGTGGTATAAGGGCAGGAGAATGATGATGATGATGAAAGGGCCATTGGACTTTAAAATATCGGATTGTACAGTAACTTGCTGCAAAAAAAATATTTCATCGTGTCTGAATCTTTTGGCTATGTTATTTATCTGTTATATATACTGTTCTATCATACCTTATTATATGACCAGCCTTATCTCTTTAATAATAAACTTGAGATAGTATTGTTTGCAGATGATATTTCTTTTTTTTTTAAAGTAACAAGTCATTCTGTAAAACTTGTAAAAACTGGTGTACTTTTATGTACAGCAAGACCCCATTGACCCGACTGTACTCCTTGGCATTAGTATAGATGCCAAACTGCAATAGGGCCCCCATTTTTACAAACGTGTCTAATTTTACACTGGGATAGGAATATGTTTGGTAATGTTTGTTGACTATATAACATGTTTTGTAATTCAGCATACAGGTTCATTTTTAATTAGTTTATTGTAATGCCACCGGCCAGAATACTTATTTAAAGTAGAGACTTCGAACATCGATGTCTTAACCCAATTTTCGCACATTTATCTTGCTTGCGTCGTAGTATTGTATCACAAACTGGCTCCGTTCCCATGGTCCGTATTTTCGCTAATAAATCAAATGTAACGCCGCGCGTTAGCAGTTTCATCCAGAGATTCGCCCCTCGACTTAGTTCTATATGGTACACATTTGTCATTGTTGTATTGATCGTTGTTCGCAAGTGTCCCACTTTACACGATATTTACGCTTATTATTTGCTTTGTTTGCGCTGAACGTTTCCAGTCTTGTTTGACAAACAAGCCATTTGTTTATTTGAGGGAAGTCGTCTTTTACTACAGATTCGTTTATCTGGATGTTGAAGAAGTATTGTATAATCTGAAGTAATCGCAAAATTGCATAAACACTCTTTAAGTAAAAGGTAATAAATGATACTTTATTTAAGGATTTATCGCGTTTCCTTCTCAGCGTTCATGGTCACGAGACGTCTGAATGTCATGGTTAGTCCGGACTGTCGCCAGTTTTTAAAATATTAATTTTCTGTTATCACTTGTGTGCGGAGAAAACATATTTCATTATTAAAATTATAACATATATGTATATAAGCAGCTTTTGGCAGATTTCATATTTATTATACCTTTAAGTGACATTTCATTGGGTGCTTCAAGTTTGTATTTGCTCAATTACTAATTGCGCGGCTTTTAAAACATTTTAATCAAGTTAAATTTTTCTAAGTCATTACCACATAGTTATTGTGATGAAAGTGAACAGGATAGTCCGACCATGGCGTGCTATCATGAATCACGTTTTCTTTTTTTCGAATCACGATGGTCGTAAAAATACCAAAGTTATCGGATTTAATTAAGCACGACATTTTTCTGCTCTCAAATACTTCATGCGATTACTAACTTAGACTAACTAGATCTTATAGCCTTTCTTAACACCGTAGATAATGTTCAGTTAAGGTATCGCATACATTACTCAAGTAAATTTTTGCTTTTACCTGGTGACTAAAGACCGTAGTTAACGTTAAGTTAGGGGATCCCATGCTTTCACTACTTACACGTTACTACGTTATTGAAGCACATTTTTGGTTTTATACTGGAAGTAGAAGATAATTTGTCTTGTAATATGTTAAGATGTGATACTTTCTGTCATTTAAAAACATGCGGAATTTTTTTTAAATAGGTAATATACCTAATTAATCGATGTAAAGAATTTTTCGATTGTCAAATGTGATTCTTTTTTGAATAGATAATTCTGTTTTTATATAATCTGCATTTATGTATAATATATAACGTACTTGAGGCATTATGAATATATTTACCATTGGTTTACATTAGGATAGATAATATTTGCTTGTCTTCAACTTGTCAAAGATCTCGGTTTGTGTTTGACTACATGCATTGGCCTCGCAACGCGGTCTCTCGTGACTTGACACCTGTGACCTCTGGCGCCCATATTCGCTTTTCACGTCGGAAGCGAGTCATTTTGTGCGGAATTGCTGCAGTTTAGAAAATTGCTCTTCAGCTGTACCCACTATTAATGACTCCGTGCTTCGCGCGGTGGACGGGTAATCGTTCTCGAAATAAATACCGTCATATAAGAAATTATTTTCTAAGTTACATAAGCATTGCAATTACTTTCTTGGCTTAAAATGAAACCAAACTGGTTATAATCGGAATAAAAGTTAAAAAGATAAAAGTTATGCAAACAGAAAAATAATACGGTGTTTAATGAAAATAAGGAATATGTTTATTTAAACTCATTTTAAGATGTAACGTATTCGACTCCTAGCTATAGCTGTAGTCTTTCTATAGTATTTAATCGCGATGAACTCTCGTATAGACGCTAAATAGACGAGCCAACATTTCTAAGATCCATTGCACGCTCTTGCTAATGTCTCTAATGTGGTATTCGTTTCATAGTACAACGTGTGCATGAGAAAATGATGCTTTTAGAGCATTATTGTTTTGTTTCGTTAATAATCTGTTTGATTATAAAATATCTGAGTATCTGTTTTGTGTTGATAACATCTATATTATTTCTTATAAAAATATTGCGCATTGTGAGTAATTTCACCATTAATTTAGTTTCCTTCATAAAATTGAATGTATTTTTTTTTTGTTTCAGAAAGTCAAATAACAAGACAAAACTGGACTTCCTTTGAAAACCGTCGTCATGGATTCTGAAAGGTAAATTGTTGCTCTCGTTTTACGAAGTTTGACGTTTATCATTCAAAGATATTGTATGCGAAACCTTAAATTTACAATGCAGCTGTAGAATAACTTTTACCACAAATATGACAATGCATAAATGTACATAAACATAACAAAGAAAGGTTTATCTCGACATCTTAGCATAAAAGCGTTTCGTTAAGATCTTGATCTGTCTTGGTTCAATGTCCAACTAAACCGTTGGACATCACAAAAAGAAACCAGTTAAAAATATTATTTTGTTATCGTATATTTGAAAGTAACTTAAGTCCTTGAACATTAATAATCCAATCAGTTTCGCAGCATAATGAAATAAAAGAGTTTTTATTGTCTGATCTCGTCTCCGGCCTTGACCTGGCAACAATAGATTTGGCTTAAATGGTATATGGAGATATTGTTGCGTCAGTGACCGATTTGACCATAATAGCTTGCGGTATCAGATTTTTGCATAACAATAGAAACGATAATTTTAGAGGGAAATGGAACCAATTTGGTTGAGTGGCCTGTGACAACAAGCTGACGGAATAAATTCAATTGGATTTTACACATATTCCAATACACACTGTCTAAAATGAACTTGATCGCACATTGCTATATATTACAAAAAGTCCGGTTAAATTGATGTCATTTAGAAAAAGACATTCACTTAAAGTAAAAATTGAAAAACGCCTAACGCATTTTCGTTCTCGATGTAATTTACAAGATTTGCACAAATTGGTCATTTAATGTCTGCACCAATGTTCTTCGTAAATCTTGTTTCGTGAAACCACTTAAAAATTCAGTTTTTTTTATTGTGTAATCCCTTAATATAACTTATGAAATAATTTCCAGCCCGAGAGATCGAGATAGTTCCATAGTATTGGGTCAGTGATAGTGTACTAACTCAAAACGTAAAACACTGACACTTAACCATTTTTATGACAGTAGTTAGTGAACTCGCCCAGGCAAAACAGTAACACAACTCCACTGTTTGATTAAAATAATTACAGAAGAATGTGGAGGGGTGTCCAGTTTGCCTCCGAAGCTTTAATCGGTTTTAGTTTTCCCTTTACCGTTATTATGACACTGCGACGTCGATTTTATTAAGCATTGATGAAAAGCGTGCGCTGAGATTAAGTAATGGGTTTTAAAGTTCTGACTGCGCCGTTACGGTAGACGGTCATAGGAGGAATGTAGATTATTTTCTTAAAAGATAATGTAAACTGGCAGCCCACCTTATAATACGTAAATACCACCGTCCATAAAGTTTGGCTGTCTCAGAGATCGAGAATCAAATAGACTATTGCAGATAATAATATATCGGTGTAAGTCATCTTAATTCTGAACTGATACCTCTCGGGATGGCAGGCATGATTTTTTGCGTTGGTGTGTATAATGTTTGTTTTTTTTTAATCTAATAGCTTTTGCCAGCGTGTTTATGCAATTTTATACAGAATAACAAAAGAAGTTAATTTTGAAATTGACCCATTGCATTTAAAGCACTCTGGTTATTCCTTTCTTTACTAGGTCATCTGTAAAGTAATATAGTCGCACTTACCTGTCCGAGACGCTGAGAGTTGATACAAATTTATGAAGGTCAGATATAGCCGCTTAATGCAAGAAACGTGCCCTGGCGAACTGAGATGGATGACGACGGTGCAGATGACCCAGATTCATAAAGCAACGCACGGTAATTGGCCGTAAACGGACCAAGGAAGATAAATCACATTGGCTTAAGATATTCATGATATTAAATCGATAATAATAAAGTCGTAAATAATTAAGCAATAAAGTCTTTAGTATTTTATGATGAGATTATGCTGAACTCAACCGTGACGAAGACTTTATGTGATTTACTTAATACACGATACAGATGCTTGTGCCTTTAAATTATATTTGCTGTAGTTATAATTATTATACTTACTTCTGTTAATAAATGTCTATTTATTAACAAAAGTAAGTCTTCATGAAGTCATACATTAATCGCTCGTTTTTTTTTGCGCCGTACATCGTCACTTGCACTCTAAGTTTACACACGTTGCTTTAGCGTTGCTTTAGCCTCGTATTTGAAGTTAAAGAAAAAATATGTAGTATAATCTATTATTAAAAAAGAAAAATAGCGTATTCATTTCGTTCTCGGGGTGTCTTGAAGTATATTAAATTTCGTATTACCCAAGTTGGGCATAACAAAATAATGAAACGGCTGAACTCAAGTTCCAATCGGTGTATTTTCAGAGTGAGTGGGATGAGTTCGCGGTCGCGTTCCGTCTTGCACTGAGTTCGATGTTAGACCACCTTGGTCATAGTTAATAATAGACTAATTTCTATATCTTAGCGCCGTCCACGTAGCCGTTACGTACATTACATAACCACTCGTACATCGATTACAAGACGGCAACCACAACATCTAACTAATCGACATGACATTGCAACTCGATTGTTTCAAAGCTAATTGAATAACTCGGAATGTTCCGCTCGCCGAATACACTTCCTCGTTTGTCGATTAAATAAAACGTCAGAGCCGTAATTGGATGTCGGTTAATTGTGGTACGCTAAATTAATAATCGTTACATAAAGCCCGTTTAATGTGGCTGCAAAATTATCACTTTCGCCATGCCCACCGCGGCGCCGTGTTGTACTGTGCCGACATGCGCTCGATCGCTACCGGGTACCAACGCAGTAGGGTGACCATGCCTGTCTCATATTCACGTGGTTTAAATTTAATTAAATTTTGCCTTTGGGTGGTTTAATCAAATCATTTGTGTTATTTTATGTTTACTTGTCACGATCGAATATTTTATTTCGCTATCAAAACCTTTTAGTTATTACGCAGAGTATTACCGTGATTGTAGGTGACTCCGTGGCGCAGTCATCAAGGTTTTGTCTTCGGCGTCGGGGTTCGTGGGTTCGATTCCCACACGGGACAACTATTTGTGTGACCCACAGATAGTTGTTTCGCATCTGGGCGTTTGTCCACGTGAAATTTATGTATGTAAAACGTCCTTGCAACAAAGGATAATGTTATCCTAAAGTGAGGGCAATGTTTAAAAAGAAAAAAATTGTGTTGAGTGAGAGCTTTGAGTGCACTGATGAACTCTTGAATTATTTGCATTGTCGATTCAAGCGAGGTAACCGGCGGAGCTCACATTATTAAAAGGTGGCAACGCATCTGACACCCTTCACGTTCGGAGACGTCCATGGGCGGCGGTTATTTATTTATAAAACCTTACATTATCAGTACAGGTATTTAACCTAATACAATAGTGCGGCAATCTACAACACAAGGAAAACTATTTATTGACTATATCCACAATCACTTAACTACACTATAGTTTTCACTTAACATCAGGTGAACCAGTTTGCTTGCCACATTCTCACATAATAAAGTATCTGTGTACGCACTTAAGAAGTTATACTTTTTTAGCGGTACAAAAGAAAAATAACTAAACATTTTATCCCCTGTGCCAAAGTTAAGATTGTTTGTGAATTAAAGGCATTTAATGGAATGTATAACGGTTTAATTTAAAAATTGGAATTATAAATAAATGTCAAAAAATTGTTACAGGTTGCCATGGCAACATTGTGAAGTTGGTCCCTTTAGAAACCGACTTCATCATTTCGTTTTTGGTCTATCGTTGTGCGCGCGCATTGTAAAAATTTTACTCTCATAATTTTATTTTAAAATAAAAATATAAATATATTAAAAAAGTAAAAAGTAAAGTAACAGCCTATACATTTCCCACTGCTGGGCAAAGCCCTCCTCTATACAGAGGGTATCAGGGCATAGTCCACCACGCGGCCCCACTGCGGATTTGCGGACTTCACATATTTTCGAAATATATTTTTTTGTTATTATTTCGAAAATATGCAGGTTTCCTCACGATGTTTTCCTTCACCGCGGAGCACGTGATAAGTCAGCACTTAAAGTTAAAAACTTCATTGGTGCCGGCACCGGGGATCGAACTCAGGTTGCTCGAGTAAATTGAATTAAAGGCGAGCGCCCGGACACTGAGCTATCAGGGCTCTTAATAAAAATATATTAGAAAAGGTTTTTTACTGTCCACAAGTTTTAAGTATTTTAAATTTGTTTTTAAATAAAGGTTGACAAAAACCATTGTCGCCCCAGCCCCGTGATGCAACGTAGACGCGTGCGCCGGCGCCGACGTGTTCATAAGCGCTTGGACGCCGTCCATCGTAATGTTGTTGCAATTTACACCGTTACGCCATTCGCAATAAGGCCTACCACATATGACAATATTTACGACGCCAATTCAGTAAAATTAATGTATGTGTTATTACATGTTAATTTTTGGGCCGAAGTTGTTATTGCGAACTGGCAAGGCTGGATGTTGGATTGCAATAGTGTGTATTATCCTTAGAGTGGGTCGAGATAAACTTGATGTGACGCGCGTAGCATTACACATCTTGAATTTAGTAAAGTGCTATTGTATAACATCGCCTGACTTGGCCTGAAATCATATACATGTTTATAAATGAATATCACTACATAGTATAAAACATCTTCGTCGTCCCGCTATTTGTCTGTCCCTATTTATCTAGATCTTTAAAACTGCGCAACGGATCTTGATGCGGTTTCTTTACTAGGTAGAGCGATTCAAGAGGAAGGTTTACATGTATAATACATTGCACCTGTACGAAGCCGGGGCGGGTTGCTAGTTAGCTATAAAGCTAAGAACAAAGGAAGTAAAGCGCTATAAATACTCGTATATTTTACGTTCCACTGTTGGTTACAAGAGTTATACATGTTTTACCCAGAATTGTAAAATTCGTTACCCAAAATTGATTACGATCTCACTTTATGGTTACAGGTATTTAACATTAGCTCTTTATTACTAACGTACAAATTCTATTAAATCTCCAGTAACCAAATCTACAGATAGAATATTGTTTCAATATCGGCCGTTAATCTGCCACCGAGGCAGATACTTTCTGCCACTGATTTCAATACGATGCTTTTACACACATTATATATAATAAAG